GGGAAAATTGAAAGAATTACAGCAATTATGGACTAAATTTAAATCTGAGCTTCCTGGAAATAAAAATGAAAAGGCAAAAAAAAAGGCATTTTTGTATACATGCATACTCTTTTGGAGAGAGTAACTTTTGTTTAAAGATTGGCTAAGATAAATTTATGAAATAAATCTTTTCATGGTCGCAAGACTACCTAATGGAAAATGTCACATGTTCTGATTTCTAGAAGACGTAAAGATAACTTTCAGAGGAACATTATGTTATGTGGTTATAACAGTATGTGTTGATTCATATAGAATAATCTCTGAGAATTAAATTTTTGGTGGGTGAAGATTAAAGACATTTAGCAAAATGAGGACCTAGGCCTTCATTCAAATAAAATCTTCTCAATCAAATGCTAGAAGGTTGTTGCATATCCATGGAAAAAAAAATAAGATAAAAGGTAAAAAGTAATATTCTGTGATTTTTACTACAGAAATACCTACATTCACTTTGTATACTAGACTTGCAGTGGCAATATTGGCATCTGCTGTGAACAGTTAAGAACCTGATTTATATTTGGCCAGATGGAGGGCTGTCATTTTTGCTGTTTAGGGGGCTGTAGAAAAAGCCTACATTATAGCCAAGTGTGTTATGCAAAGCAAAGGGGACTCTGAATCTAATAAAACATTTGGGCAAATGGTCAGTTGAGACCTTAAAGTTCTAAAAATAAATCACAGAAAAGATTATTTTCAACTAAAGTATTCAACATTTAAAAGACGTTAACAATTAGCCATTATTTCCATAAAAGGGTTTGCTGTGGTTGGTCCTCCAGAGTAAGGTATCTTCTTTGAGTCTGTTTATCCTTTAAAATTATTATGTATGCTTACCTAATAGAAGCTTTTGTATTTTTCTCAGAAAAAGTTTCAGTGATTTATTTTAATTCTCAAAAGGCTCTCTAACCCTCAACATATTAAGAACCAGTTTTGTCTAGCATTAGATTATGAGCTAAATTTGCACTCTGTTATAAAATTTCTTCAATAAAAGAAAGTACTGATAAACAGAATATAATAATTTATTTGTCTATCATGAATCACCATCAAAGAGTATAAATTATTGTCCTTGTACAGATGATATTTAGCTTATCCTGCCAAATGTTTTACCTAAAACGATACATCAAATTAATAGGAATTAATGAGCAAGACAGAAAGCGTAAGAGGTGATGAAAAGGGATAGGATTGTACCAACACAATTTGGGACTTCGTGGCTGGATGCAGTAAAAGAAATACTTTTACTTAGGATGACTTCTTCAACCTCCAGAGAATATTTAATATATACAAGTTCTGGTGATCTCCATTTGCTCCTCATGCTTTGTCTTCTATTAATATATGTCTGCCTTTCCCCCTTCATCTCTCATCTTACCTCAATGCCCCACTATGTTCACATTCACACTGGCCTTCTTTCAGTTGGTTGGTCTAATTGCCCCAACTGCCTGAAGTCTCTTGCTGTACTCTTCTCTCACTTAATTCTAACTCATTATAAAAGCCTCAACTCACATGTCCCTTCTTCAGGGAAGAAACCCTCGGTAGCTCTGTCTAGGTAAGATTTTCCTTGTTAGATATTCTCTCAAAGCTTTGTACCTTTGTTTAATACATTGATCCTAGCAGTAATTTTTCATCTATTGATTGATTCATTTGTTTCAGGTCTCCTCTACTTCACGTAAACATGATGAGGGCAGGGTCAGTGAATGCTCATTCTAATACTCCCAAACCTTAGTGCTATGGGCTGAATTGTGTCCCCCAAAATTCACATGTTGAAGCCCTAACCCCCAAAGGGACTGTATTTGGAGATAAGTCTTTTAGATTTATCTAAAGTCTAAAAGAGATAAATCTTTTAGATTTATCTAAAGTTTAAATGAGGTCATCAGGGTGGGGTCCTAATTTCATAGGATTGGTGTCTTTTTAAAAGGAGGCAGAGAGAGAGATATGTCTCTTTCTCTCTCTCCAGGTACACGCACTGAGGAGAGCCATGTGAGGACACAGTAAGAAGGCAACCATCTGCAAGCCAGGAAGAGAGCCCTCACCAGAAGCTGAATCCTGACAGACCTTAATCTTGAACTTTTTTGCCTTCAGAACAGTGAAAAAATAAACTTCTGTTGTTTAAGCCACACAGTCTATCGTGTTTATTTGTTATGGTAGCTCATGCTGACTAACAAACTCAGTATCATTCTTGGCCACACTGGAGACAGTAAAGATATATATTTTATGTATGAATGTACTTTGTAGATGTTATTACTAATTACTATATCTGACTCTCAGGATTCAGGTTAATGTAACACCATCAGATTTTTGTTGCAAGAAATAATGGCATTGTATCACTGCTCTGATTCACAGGGAAAAAAAGCCATGGGTTCTATTCTTTAATTACAAAATATATCTAAATATATAAATTCTCTAGATGTGCTTATTTGTCTAATAAGCTAAATATACTTCTCTATTATATTCATTATCCAAAAATATACTTTCTGAGTTTATGTCCTAGTAAAGCTGTAGGTCTAATATTTGAAGAACCATTGAGTCTTTCAATTGCTTTTCGCTTGAAAATAGTTTTGAATTTCCCACCACATTTTGGGTTCAATATCATTTCCAAATAAACCCTGTCACCTCCCCATGTCCAGTCTCCCTTTATTTAAACCATTCTTTTTAAAGTATGCAAATTAACTCTCATTCATTGTCCTTTGTATTAAATACACTCATCTCAATCTATCACTATATGTTCATCCTAAAAGTCTTTTAATCCATCCTCTAATCAATTTTGTATTTCCCATGAAAAGCTCATAGCTAATAGTAACAATGAAAAAAGTTCAAGCAATTTTCATATAATATGCCACTCTTCTTTTTTTCACACTTGCAGACATGTTCCTTTAATCTCTTTCTCAGGCCCTTTTGTGCCCCATACACTTTGATTGCCCATCCAGATCCACTGTCTACCTTTCTCCTGTGACTCAGAAGACTGATATTTACAGATTACAGCTCTTTGTCCTTTGCCTTTTGATTACGTTTAGTCAGTGGGGAGCTCTTTCCACGTTCTGGATGCAGGGGGGAGAATTAAGTAGGGTATTTCTTTTTCTGGCTCCATTTCTATGATGGTGCCTTGGCTGGCCCTTAAGGCTGCCTTTACCATAAGGATCTGACTGTATCCTTCCGAGTTTCTATAACTTCTCTCCCTGATACTTTCTGGCCTAAGAGAGATAATAGATCTGATGCTAGGTTATCGCATGATCCCTTGTGGTTCCACTGTACTCCAACTACGCTTTTTAAATATCTCTTTGTAAAGAAGCTTTCTAAAATTATCCTAACTTGAGTGGGCCATTAGTTTTAAAGATTTTCCTTATGTATCCAAATATATAGTATATCAGCTTATGGTTAAACTGTGTTTCTAGCTATTTGCATGGATTTTCAACATATGCCTAGATTTTGCTCTTAACAAAGAAAAAGCTCAAAAGTTCAGGCCATTTTTCGTAAGACACATGTAGTTTCCACACTCCCAAACTGCTTCACACTTTTGCAAACTAACAAAATCAATTAGTTGTGTGTAACTACTCTAAATACAATTTTAGGATTCGGGCATCCATGCATTAGGTATTTAAACTGATTTTCTTTGCCTATATTTTGATCTTTACTGTGCTTAGCTAAATCCTTAGAAGGTAAAAAATCTATTACTAAACACTTTAGTATTGTCCTTTTGGAAACTGACAAGAAATGCTTATTGATTATGCTCCAAATGAAAAGAGGAAAGATCCTTACCTTACAAATTTTTAACTGACTTTTAATTGCTGTTGGCTCTGATGTGGTGGTGGGTTGGATTTTCAACCAGTTTTCAGCAGTAGTTGTCATCTGCTCCAATTGTTGTAGCTGATTATAGAAAGTGATGATGTTGTTCTGATACTCCAGCCAGTTAAGTCTCTCACTTAGCAACTGGCAGAACTCGATCCACCGGCTGTTCAGTTGTTCTGAGGCTTGTTTGATGCTGTCAGCATTAACACCCTCTAGAAAGAAAAAAAAATTAAATATATCCCCTAAAGCCAGAGACTGAAAGAAATGATCTGAGAACCAATATATCTGAATTATAAAAGTATTCACTGTATGAATGATTTCAAACAAAATTATTTATTGACTAAGATGTAAAAATATGGAGATGATTTCTGATTATTGATTGTAAATTATTAGAGTTATATCCCATACAAAGAATATGAATGCTATAAAATGATAAATAAGTAGATATAAAATGTAGAACAGTAGATCTAAATAAAAACAAAAGTGGTCAAAACTCTGATGGAGTGTGGAAGGTTAATCATAGGCAAAACATATTTTGGATGTTTTCGAGTACATGTTAAATATGCTTATTATTCAAATATATTTTCAAAATCTAACTTCCGTTTTATTTTAAAAATTAGTCTGGGAATTAGTTGAAATGCTATTATTTGTATGCTTTAAAAATAATTTATCAAAAATTAATTATTCTCTATTTCTTCTATAGATAGCCAGAAATAAACAGATTGTCCATGGATCCAAGAAAGTAAAACAAGCGCCAGAAAAAACAATCATTCAAATATGGAAAGGTTTTTAATTTTTCAAATACGGAAAGGTTTTCATTTACAAATGTGGAAGTTGATCTGAAGTTTTAAAATTGTCTATGACAAGACTAAATCAGGAAAACTCTATCAAGGGCAAAATGGAAATGCAAGCATATCATTTTTACCACTACGCTTGTGGAGTACCTACTATGTGCCAGGCAATATGCTATTTTTTTCATATATTCTATCTCATTTAAATTTTGCCATGATGTAATATATGACTAATGCCAATCCAGGCATATATTATCCTATACATAACATGAAAGTATAACAACATCATGCTATGCTAAATCCTTAGAAGGTAAATCCTTAAAATCCTTAGAAGGTGTTAAAATATTCAAACTCTCTAAAGTTTGCTCACAAAATTTAGACTTTCTTAGATATATTAATTTATATAGTAACTTCCTTAATAAATGACATTAGATAAAGAATAGATTAAATATGATATCATGCATTTTAAAACACAGCTACAATAGTACTGATAACTTTCTTATATTTTTAAAATACTGAATATTTGAATGTTTCATATTCCCACATTTTTATCCACAAAGATCTCAAAAGAGAACATAAGCTCACTATGAGGTTCTTTGTCTAGGTTAAAATATCTAAGGGGTAAAGTCATTTTGTAGAAGACCGGGTTGTATAAGAAAACCTACTTTTATATGTGTACATTTTACTTAACTTTCTGGTAATATGATTTATTTAAAAGGAAACTAAGTTCTTAAAACGTCTAAAGAACAACTCTACCAAACATAAGGCCTGTGGTTTTACTAATTTGTACATGCCTCCCACTTTATCCTTTTTAAAGACTAAGAAAAAGAAATGTGAATTCAACAACTATATTATTTTATCCTTTTTCACTTTCCTCTGTTCAGATATTCTAATGTTTTATTTGTTATAATCATGTTATGCCTCCAAACCACATCTCTAAATTCATTTGAAACACAACTCTAACTTCACTAATTTCAAAGTGTGACACTACCCAGGATGCCACTGAAGGAAGAAAACCATCTTTTTCTCCTTCTTTGGCTGATATATTTCTAAAGAGATATAATGGAAAAAGTGTAAAAAGAGAATATATACATGTCTCCATATATCTAGCTATAAGAGAAGCCTGTGGTTTGTAGAAACAATGTTCTTTGAATAGCCTCCTAATAGTTAAGGTAGCAATTGGTCTTACTGAGACACCATGACACGCTGTTTGTGAAAATTAGGTTTTGAGGAATGATCAAAAATTGTACCAAAAAAATTGTGCCAAGATATGTTTTGGGGGAGGCTACTAATTAACCATATTGGTAAAATGACCATGTTTAGTAAAAAGTATAAGACAAGAATCTAAAACTTTAATCATATGAGCACTCAGTTTGAAAAAAAAATTATGATAAAATGTTAACATTTCTGGAAAATGAAAAGGCATGATTTAAAAATATCCTGGAGGGAATTTTTAAATTATGTTAGGTAATACCTCAAAAATGTGCC